GGAGACGGACTGTATAAGTCAGACTGCTCAAATTAGCTGGCTAGTGTTCAGGCTTCCTCTTTGCTTTAAGCTGGGCTGTCATTGGCATTGATCCTCAAATGCATGTCTAAGTTAAAGACGGAGAGAAGTTACCACTCTGGCAGAGCAGATCTAACATGCCTGTATATTGGTGGTGGATAGAGAAGGTGGTTGGAGAGGGGAGGGATATTGACCCAAAACCTTTAGAGGAGATACTAGGTATTACATATGTATGTCTATGTATTCCTGAAATAATGGCAGGATGCTTCCCCCGCCCCTCCTTAAGTCGACAAGAAAAACTTAAGATTCAAGAGGGGCAGCCAGGGGCCTTCAGCTGAGGGATATCTGATACATTGTGCCTGTTTTTCTTCAAGGTGGGCTATTGTGTTAATTTTCTAGGAATGCTGTAATCAAGGATCACAGACCCAGTGTCTTAAACAACAGAGCTTCTCACAGTTCTAGTGGCTAGAAGTCTGAGACAAAAGTCTGGGAGTGTTGGTTCCTCCCAAGGCTCCTGAGGGAAGGATCTGTTCTAGACCTCTCTTCTTGGATTGCAGACCTCTGTCTTTTCCCTCTGTCTTCACATAATCTTCCCTCCTATGGAAAAGCTGGCCCAAATTTCCTCTTCTTGTAAGGACACCAGTCCTATTGGATCATAACTCACCCCAATGACCTAATTTTAACTTAATTACTTTTTTAAAGACCATATTTCAAAATACAGTCATATTCTGAGGTACTGGGGGTTAAGACTTCACATAAAAATTTGGGGGAGAACACAGTTCAGTCCATAAAGATGAAACAGCAGATATACCTCACGTCATAGAGTTTCTATTACCCTAAAATAAGGCATGTACATTGGCTAAGTCGCAAGTGACAAGTGAGCCTTGAATTAATTATGGCACCTTTTAGGGAAATTGAAAATTACTTTGTGAGTGGAAGACTTAGGTAATGTCATTGTGATGTGAAAGACAGTATCTAATCCTGGTCCTTGGTTTCAACTAACTGGCCTTTGAGGAGTTGTGGGAGAGGCTTTGGAAGTGGGTCTCTATCATTTTGCAAACTGAAGATGTTGGGATCACTTATTCAGGAAGATTTCTCATGATCCTCTTTTCCATATAACAAACTGTCCAATTCCTTTGGGTTTCCCTGGGTCGTAGCAGTGTTGGTTGGTGTGCTCAACGGCAAATGCTTGGACTTTCTTCTAGTAATAGAAGCTTTAGAAACTTTGATTTAGTCCCTGTGGCCAACTGACTGTCCACTCTCCACCTGTTCCAGAGATCTCTCTGCAGCATAAGCCAGCCTAAAGTACCTTAAATTACTACAGGAACAGACATGGTAAAGAAATTTATACTGTCTGGCCAGAAACAGTTACAGACTCTGTTGTTGCTGGAATGAATTGTGTTCCCAGCTTACTCCCAGACTGTGAAATCCAGTGAGTGTGTAACAGTGCTGGCCCTTACTGGAGCCATAAATTAATCCCTCTCCCATGCTGCTTAGCTCTCATCTTCACTCTAGCAACCTTTCTTTGCCTACTCAGGGCTCTCCAGCTTTCTGATATCCAGCAATGGTCCAGTACTTTCAAAATTCTTTTAGCTGTGTCTTTCCCCAATGACAGCACAGTGTTTCAAACCTTCAGGTCTTCTAGGCTAATCCACCTTTATATGCATATCCTCACTGCATCCCTCGCTCTTCTGGAATGTCTCAATGATAGAAAACCCACTGTCTTGGGCAACAACTCATTTCATTTTCGAATTACTTTCAGTTTTTATAACACTCTTCCTTTTTTGGAAACATGATTTTTGTTCTCTCTAAATCGCATGCATCATTCTTAGTCTGCTGTCAATCAGTCATACTCAATCAGTTTAATCCATCTTCTACTTGACTGTCATTGCACATCTGGAGACAGCTGGAAGGCCTGGTCTGAGTCTTCTGTGCCTTAGGTTGGGCACTATAGTATCCGACATCTTCAACCATGGTTTTAGGTGCCATTATTTGGCCTTTTTCATTTGGGCCTCAATTCTCTGAGTGGGTCCTACTGGCTATTAGTGGATCAATTCACTGCAACATGCTGAGATTCCTCTTCACTTTTCATGGTTCAGATCAAATGCTACTTTCTTTGCAAAGCCTTCCTTAATGCTACCCAAATATGAGGATATGAACAGCTTTTTTCTTGGTATTCTCATATCACCTTGTACTTTCCTGTAACACTTGCCACAAGGTACCATAACTATTGAACTATTGGTTTATATGTATTTTTTCTCCTGCTATCTTGTGGACCTCTCTTTGACTAGAGACTTTATCTTAATCATTACTGTATCCTGCATTCCATGCTCAGAATAGGGGATTCTTATTGGTTGCTTTACTGTTTCAATAAACTGAAGTTAGAATTCCAAGTACCAAGCTGGTCAGAGAGGGTAATGTCTCTGTTCTGGGAGGTTTTTGATGTTCCTCAGGTCAGTCTCTTTGGGGGAAATCCTGGATTGTTTATATTTAAATGGTCCAAGCCAGGCTGAGAGATGTGTGGGGAGTAGAGTGTAGCATGGCATACCTCTAAGACTTCCTGGATGCCTCTGGATGTTCCAGTGCAAATCATGGCTTGTAGCTCCAGTGTCAAATTATGCCTGGTTTCTGGAACCCTCTACCCCAGTTAATGAAGCTTGACATTAGCTGTCTTTTTTTCTTTTTATTAAAGGGCGATTGATCATCAGGCTTGCTTATTTGCTTTTCTGGATGAAAGTTGCAGGCCACTGTTACCGATGTCTGACTCCTTCCAAGAAAGAATCAAATATACCAAACCAAAATGTATCTCCTCTTCCCCAAGGCACATATTTTCTAAAAGTGTTTGTTTGTTTGTTTTTTTGCCAGCTGGCTGTTTGATTTGCTTGCTTGCTGATATTATGGGAACATAATTCTGAGTATCTTTTAAATCCTAAATGCATTGGGGGCAGGTCTCAGGTCATCCTGAGATAACACTTTCTCTCCAACCAGTAAACAGGGCAAGGGAATTTGAACCTGACTCTATATCTTCAGGGCAAGTCTACTAACATCTTCTTGCAACTGAAATCCGTTCTTCAAGGGCTAGAAAGAGTTCATTTTGTTCATTTTCTCAAACCTCCTCTCCATGATGGCTTTTGTTTACCTACCTATTCCAGATAATATTAATAGATATCTATGCAGCTGTTAAAGACTCTTCAAGGACAAAAACATCCCTCAAAATTTGCTCTCACCCTGATCTGTAAATAGTTCTTATCAGCAACTGCCTTTTTATCTTAACATCATTGACTAAGTTCAGTATTTGGAAGATGACCTGGTGGTTTACATACCTCAAGACCTCTCAACAATCCAGACACTGAGATACTACTCAGAGTGGGATTGTTCTTTTTCTTTTAAGATCAGATGTGACAGTTCCTGTAATAGTCTAGCATGTTCATTGAAGATAACTTTGCAAGTTTGCTTCACATGGTATTTGTCATTTGGTGTAGTCTAAAAGCAAATTCTCAGGCATAAATAAATGCAGTGAGAGAGTTTTTCTCACCTTATGTGGGAGTGGGGAGCATATTGGAGGGTCATGGTAGATATTCAAAAGCTTAATCCTAGGTTTTTGGGTCATGGAAGGGAGATTGCTGTCTCGCTCTGTACCCTTGACATGTAAGTGGGAAGTATCAGAGACATTTCAGAGGGACAAACAGTAAAAACTAAATAAAAGTCACCCTCTGATGTTGAAATATAGAATTTCAAAAGGTAAAATCACTTTACAATAAATGTATGGAATTTGACCCTATGTATATTTTCTGTCTTGTGTTGGCAATATTAATCAGAAAAGATAGCTCCATTGCAAGAATGGTTAAATATAGCTGGGACAATGTCCTAATTATATGGCCAGTTTTGCAGGAAGGAACAATGATTTCCCAAACCTGAGGTGCTGAATCACTATCAGAGATAAAAGCATGGACATTGATTATGATTCAAGGTGCAGGGGCTTATTTATTGTGCTGTAAGCTTGTTAGACCTGCCTGATTCCATTGCAATTCTTAAGGTTGTCAGTGAGGCTCTGCCAACCCACTAGACGGGAGGCCTTTATGGAAGCATCTTCCTTTTTCACCAATAAACAAGGCGATAGAGGGTGAATGTTGCCCTGAGAATTGGAAACAAGTTAATTAAGATGCATCTGAGCTTGAGACTGTCGTCTAAGGAATGCAGCAGTTGGGAGGTGAAGGTGGCGGGGAGCGTCATTGGATGGTTAGTGCATATACAGTTGTCAAGGCAAGGAGAGAGGGTGTTGTTTAGTATTGAAATCATGTATTCCAGATGTGGGCATTTGGTAGTCAATCTGCTCTGAAGTGACATGCTACTGAATCTTTAAAGGGCTTCAGCCAGGGAGAGCAAAATCTGATTGGGCAAATTGCTAAAATATTTAAAGTGCAGCCTGTTAAAGCTTTTACTGCGAAGAGCATCACGTCAGAAGTTGTAGTCAGAAGGAGCGAGTAATTGGCTTTCCATCCTCATGCCAGTCAGTCAGCATGAGGCTCTATTCCTATTCCTTCCTCTTCATTGCCGAGGCTAATAGCAACCCTTTGGGGTGTGTGTGTGTGTGTGTGTGTGTGTGTGTGTGTGTGCACGCGCACACGCGTGTGCGAGTGCTGGGGAGATCGAAAAGCTGGTAATATGAGAGGAAGAGGAGTGACGTAGCCTTTAAAAGGGAGGCTAAATCCACAAAATGTTAGGAAGACCATTTAGGAAAAGAGGAGCTGGGGAAAGGCAGAAATGCTCCCTGACAAAGGTCAGCTGCACTTCCAGACGCGGGGTGGTGGTTTGGGGGCAGTTGTCTCTCAAAGGATGGATTCTGTAAGCAGAAGAACGGCTTTCAGTGACAACCACTTCCTCTGCATCTTTCATATCCTCTGAGATGTAATTCAGGGGGCACTTTCCATTTATAATTTATCACATTTTCCACTTAGGTTTTCCTGTCCTTTTCTCCCCAGGCATGACCCCTTGTTAATTCCTGGCAATGACCAGATTGACAACATGGACTCCAATGTGAAGAAGTACGACTCTACTGGGATGTTTCACTGGTGCGCGCCCAAGGAGATAGAGAAGGTCATCCTGGTGAGTGAGGGATTGTTCATCTGATGTTGCCCGCTTCTGCCCTGAACCACATTTGCTGGGAATGGGGTTTCCCTAGTGGGACAGTGGGATAATACTGTCCCTAGTCCTAATTATTTTTGATGATTGAAATTCTGAGCATAGATTGAAGCAGCTAGACCTCTGATCAGAGCATGAGCAATATTCAGAATTTTCAATCTCTGCATATATTGGCTCCTCATAAGAGTGGGTGATCACGTGCTGTGGGAAAGGCATGGTGGGAGGTGGTATGAACGTAATTCCTGTGGCCATGGCGCTGGTGTCAGAGTCTGCCTGTACCAATGATTAGCTGCGTGGCTTGGGTAATTCACTTGACTTTTTGCACTTCGGTTTTCTTATCTGTAAAAAGATGAGATGAGAGTGACCCTAACTCATAGGGCTGTAGTGAAGATTAAAATCCAACATATGACTCAATAAAGTTACCTCTTATTCTTACTATTATTAAATGTTGTGAGGAAAGCTGAATGCTGCCTGTATTGTTATTGGTTTATAGCAATGTTTTGTATTCTTATAGATAATAGCCTTGCACATCTGCGAGCTTTCTTAGTGCATGTCATAGACAGGCAAATGCATGATGATGCATGACATAATGATGACAATAATGAACTATAGTCCCCTTGGGGAGGCTGGGGCTCAGAGCCCTATTTCGTGTAAGGCTTGTGAACATCTTCATAGCAGCAGTGGGCTCACCCAGTCTCTCCCAGGAATGTCAGCGTAGATAACAATCCATTCTATTCTTTGCCCTTGTTCTATTAGCAGCTTTGGGTCTTAATGCCTACATTGGTTTTCCTACAGTTTATTGTCTTGCTAATCCATGAAAAATGGATTAATAATCAGGAAAGTCAGATGGAAGGGTTCTTTCTCCCTTGGGCCTCTAATCCCCAGATTGGGATTGGTCTGTTCCTGTCAGCCAGGAAAATCCTATCATTTCTGATGTCGGGACCACCCTTCCTAAACAAGGACTCTTCTGGGTCCTCAGAATGGCTGTGTATGCTAACACACTGGACTTTCCCCTGTGCTTTATCTATGTGTATGTGTGTTCTCAACTTAATTATAAATCAGCATTAACAGCCAATACAGTATCAAGCTGGAGGCTGTCTCAGAGGTGGAAAAGTTGCAGGCAAGAGCACAGAAAGTCTGAATTCTTAGCAAACAGCCATTGTCCAACTGACCAGGAGTGCAAATGGTTCTACTTGCAAAGCTGCTTCATGTATGTACATTCTTTTTGTTTTGTTTTGTTTTTCTTGAGACAGAGTCTCGCTCTGTTGCCAGGCTGGAGTGCAGAGCCATCTTGGCTCACTGCAACCTCTGCCTCTCGGGTTCAAGTGATCCTCCTGCCACAGCCTCCTGAGTAGCTGGGACTACAGGTGCACGCCACCACACCCAGCTAATTTTTTTATATTTTTAGTAGAGACAGGGTTTCACCATGTTGGCCAGGATGGTCTCGATCTCTTGACCTCATGATCGCCAGCCTTGGCCTCCCAAAGTGCTGGGATTACAGGCATGAGCCACCACACCTGGCCATGTATGTACATTCTGATGTATTCATGGCACTTTTGCTCTGGTGGCCTAAACTTAGCCTGATGTTACCGCTTGTGGCAGGTCATAGGCTGGATGCCCTATCTGGGACCTAAGGTTTTAATGACTTGCCTGGATATTGGTGTAGTATGCATGCCAACTGATATTCAATCAACATCTGCCAGCATGAAAACGTTTAGGAGGTGAGTTACTACTTCTATGAAAAATAACATCATTTAACAAAACATCTCCAGGAGGCCTACTATGTGCCACACACTGTTCTAGTTACTGGAGATGCAATCCCTGACAACGACTGCTCTCACAGAGCTTATATTCTAGCAGAGCGGGGCCGGGAGAAAAGGCGTTATCTCTAGGTAGACAAATGAGTACATCACAACATTTCAGATATTTATAGGATGCTTTGAAAAAAGTAAAGCAGCATTGTAGGCTAGAAAGAGACTGGGAGGTGCTGTTTGGAAAGTATGATCCAAGAAACCCTCTCTAAAGTAACACTGGGCTGGAGATGAGAATGACAGGTAGGGCCAGCTACATGAGGATGCTTTGAGGCTGTGTACTCACTGGGTACAGGAAACTAACTACTTTGGGGATTCGAAGATATAAGAGATAGTCCCAATTGTAATTTCCTGGATTAACTAGAGAGAAGTTATAAAATGTAACCCATGAAACAGTGTATTTAAAGCTAAGTGGTAAGAGGCACAAAATGCTATTGAAATGTAGGGGAGAAGGACTAGGGTGTGTTGAAGTGGCCAGGCAAGTCCCATCAGATACACACAGGTTGTGCTTGGGTTGGGCCTGGAAGGATGCATGGGAATTCCAGATACATAGAGAAACAAATGATCAGTTTCTCTAGTGTGCCTCAAACCCAGCAGAATCAGACACACCAGGGCTGAAGCTCTAGAATTAGGACATTCATAAGGTTCTCTGGGTGATGTAGCTGTGGCCAGTCTGACGATGGGTGTTTTGATCCCAGATCGAAGTTCCTGGGGTCAGCATCTGTGCCTCGGCCACTCGGCTAACTGTGCCTTCCCCACCTCCCTAGTCTAGAATTCACTTCCACCCTGGGCCCAGTTGATACTCCTCTGGCTTGTTGAAGGGAGCTAGCCCCCCAGGTGACCTGGCCAATTAAAAATAATTAGGAGCCCCGTCACATAACAGTGCATTATAGACTGGTTGGCTCTCTGCTGTTGGCACCCAGGCACTTGCACTTCCATGCAGCCCAGATAACTAACTCCAGGTCTTCTGCAGGAAGTGGGGATATGTGATGTGAGCTCCCCAGTGGGTCTTCCTTGGTCACAGTTTCTAAGGCATTTCTTACAGCTTGTGTCTTCGGTTTCCGTGGACTGTTGCAGAGGGAAACCAATAATGGTGACAGCCCCTGCTTTATTCTAACGATCAGGTAGTGAAAGCTAGCTTCCTCCTCTCCTTGGGGGTTACTGTAATAACCCTGACATTGTCGTGAATTGCAATATTGGCATTTATACAATCAATGCAGCCGTCAATTCTAGAGATTAAATCAAGCAGAGTTTGATATGTACAGTGGACATTAATATGCCTCCCCCAAAGCATTGTAAGCCACATGGGGCCAGCCAGGCATGCAGTGGGTGGACAGGGATGGGAGGCATTGGACAAAGGTTCACAGCTAGCCTCCTGGCCTCACTAGCTCAGTGAATCAAAGGACCAGCAGTGACTGAACAGTTGTATTTCCTGGGAAGTTGGGGTTCTCCTCTAATAGAGTGACTGTTCTTTCATTTGTCTGCTTTGTAGATAGAGGTTTGGAGTTGGAGGAAGACACTGCTCTGTTGCTCTTACTAATCTCTCTCTAGCCCCTTGTAATGATTATTTGGGGAGATCTTTTCTCCGAATGATGTAAGCAAAGCAGGCCCCTCCAGAAATGTCCCTGGAAACTCCAAGGCAGCATTGGACAGGGGTCAGCAAACTTTTTCTGTAATAAGTCATGTAATGAATAATTTAGGTTTTTCAGGGTATAAGATCTCTGTTGCTACTGATCAGCTCTGCTGTTGTAGCATAAAAGCAGCCATAGGCAATACCTAAATGTATGAGCATGGCTGCATTCCAGTACAACTTGGTGGGAATTTGAACTTTATGTAATTTTCACAGATTATAACATAGTCTTCTTTTGATTTTTTTTCAACCATTTTGAAGCACAGAAACCATTTTTAGTTCACTGAACATACAAAAGAACGTGGTGGGCCAGATTTGGCCTGTGGGTCATAGTTTTCTACTCCTGGCTTTAGGTAGCATATTCCACCTGCTGATGCATGGACATCTCACTGATAAGTCTAGAATTCCAAACTCAAATTTCTCCAACTGAGCCCAGTGCAGGCATCTGACCATTTTATCATCATCTCAGCAAGCAGGCCAGAAAAGGCAGCTCATTTAATCAATAGTTTCATGGAAATGAAGACTTCTCTTTCCAAATAGCATAAATATTCCTTTTCCTTTTTATTTTACCTCCTGAAAATTATTATGAAGATCTTCTCACACGTATTTATGGCATCTCTTTCTTAAATCTTTTGTCAAAGAAGGCAGCAATGTGCATGGGTATACATTTGGATACATTTATTACATAAATATAATACGTATACACATGCTCAAATTATAGCTTTGTATGGCACATATATAACATTGATGAAATAAACATAATAGCACATAGTAAGCTCTCAGCAAATATTTGCTTGATTCTTTGCACAAATGATTTTTCCACTCCTTACGACAGCCCTATGCAGTCTTCTCTCTGACGCTTACACACTTCTCCCTGTTGCAGACTCGAAGTGAAGCCGCCATGACCGTCCTGAGTGGCCATGTCGTGGTCTGCATCTTTGGCGATGTCAGCTCAGCCCTGATCGGCCTTCGGAACCTGGTGATGCCGCTCCGTGCCAGCAACTTTCATTACCATGAGCTCAAGCACATTGTGTTTGTGGGCTCTATTGAGTACCTCAAGCGGGAATGGGAGACGCTTCATAACTTCCCCAAAGTGTCCATATTGCCTGTAAGTCCAAGGTCACATTATTGATGCCTTTTCTTCTTTTCATTCACAAAAGAAAATCCCAGATGGATATAATAGTTGTAGCTTTGATCATGCCTGTGCTTCTTCATCTGGATATGGGCCTGAGGACTCAGCACTTCCCCTATGCTCTGTCAAGGAAAATCCAAACCCTGGGAGACCTTATTAAAAGGAATTTGCAGCCAAGTTCAGTCCGTCATCAGGGATGAAGTTTAGCTTGTATCAAGTATATTAACCATATCAGTGTCTAAACACTCTCTCATTCCTGCCTATACAAAACCTAGAGCATTGTTATATTATGATGTTTATAGTAAGGATTTGCTTACAGAACTATTTATAGCGTTATACTTACGGCATTTTTAATGCTTGAAGAAACCTTGATCTGTGCCACCTTCTGTGTTTAACTAAATAAATGCAAAGAACAGAGTTCTTTATTTCTGCTGTACAGAAGGCCAACTCCTTCTGCAGCTCAGCCCCTAACCCCTGTTCGTTTAGAAGTCCCGCAATGTGTTCATGGTTGTGTTTGTGTGTGTGTGTGTCCGTGTGTGAATGTGTGCATGATACTCTTGACCGCAAAACATTAGGACTTCGGTCTGAAAAAACAGTCTGGGACTCCACAATTTAGTGTGAGGATATGGGATTTAGGAGTCATGTGATTAACCACTTCTTAATCATAGTGAATGCATAGTCCACAAACTCTCAAAACATTGTAGAGAATTATGCATTTCAGTGTTTGATGTAATTCTCTACATCACAAATTCATGCAAATCTCACCTCTCTTCCAAATATTTTTCTTGTAAGTTCACATCCCTAAAACTAAGAAATAGGGGCCGGGTGCAGTGGCTAATCCCTGTAATCCCTGCACTTTGGAATGCTGAGGCGGGAGGACCACTTAAGCTCAGGAGTTCATGAGCAGCCTGGGCAACATGGTGAGACCTCTTCTCTACAAAAAGTTTAAAAAATTAGCTCAATGTAGTGGTGCATGCTTTTAGTTCCAGCTACTTGAGACTGAGTTGGGAGGATCACTTGAGCCTGGGAGGTCGAGGCTGCAGGGGGCTATGAAAGCACCACTTTACTCCAGCCTGGGCAACAGAACAAGACCCTGCCTCAAACAAAAACAAAAACAAAAACTGAGGAACATGGATCTCTCTACATGTCAAGAGGTCTGGGTTTGTCCCACTTACAAAGCTAAAATCTATTATTTCTGTTATCAGCTTCCAAAACCTCAGAAATGGGGGGAAAAAGAGCCAAGTAATATAATTCATTAAAGAACACGTAAGAATCTATCCACAAGTAGTACTCGTTACTCATTAGATGCCACCATGTGTCTTTACATAATGCTGGCACAATAGGGACTCAATAAATATTTAAAGGAGTATGAAAAAGATCAGACAGTTATCTTTTGGATGCTGGGGCAAAAACCCACTGCCTTAGTGAGCACAGACAATTGAAAATAATCACCTATAGACAAACAGTCATACACAGAGGAGAGCATAAGCATATATATACTTCGCTAATTCCAGAAATATGGTCAATTTGATTATATGATTCCATGGTTATCTTTCTATCATGTGCTCCTTCACATAGTCCCCTGACCTCTAAAAGTGTCTTTGTAAAGAGTTTATTATTTTACCAGGATACATGAGTCTGCGTGTGTTTGTGTGTGTAGAGAGATGGTTATATGTGTGATATTTGGTATTTGTGTGTGTGTGTTGTGTGTTTGTGTGTGTTTCCTCCTGTGTGACCTTGTTTTCTTTTTTTTTTAATTTTGAGATGGAGTTTCACTCTTGTTGCCCAGGCTAGAGTGCACTGGCACGATCTCAGCTCACTGCAACCTCCACCTCTTGAGTTCAAGCGATTCTCCTGCCTCAGCCTCCTGAGTAGCTGGGATTACAGGCGTACACCACCATACCCAGCTAATTTTTTGTATTTTTAGTAGAGACAGGGTTTCACCATGTTGGCCAGGATGGTCACAAACTGCTGACCTCAGGTGATTCACCCGCCTTGGCCTCCCAAAGTGCTGGGATTACAGGCCTGAGCCACCGCACCTGGCTCTGTGCTCCCTTGTACATGTTCACTCATCTGTCTTCATATATGTGAATGAGCTGTCATCTTTGCAGGTCTTTTTCAAACCCTCCAAAATTTAACATACTCAAGCACAATAGATTTTCACGAAATGGGCCTTCACCTATGTCTTCACAGAGTTTATTGGTTAAACAGTACCCTGCCTATAGGGCCAGCCCAGAGAAACATAAGCGATTTCTGTGTATGTCATTTGTATTTCTTGTGGTTTGAAATCATGTGTGTACAACTGCACAGGGATCATCTTATATCACAATTATGGCTGGCTTCCCTACAAAGTGAAAATTAAAAGAATATGGATGCAGGCAATTGAGGCTTATGTACTGGCAAAATGATTCAGGAAGTCGATCAGACTTGTTTTGTACCAAGAGATCACAGGAAAAGAGGGCATTCTCCTTCTCTCAAAAAGATGCTGCTCTAGAGCCTGGAACTAGTTGTGTCTCAGCAGCACCCACAGTGCTAAATGCCCCTTCCTCCATAGTTGCACAATATTTTAGGGGCTGAGAATAGAATCATGACTACCACTGACTCATAAAAGAGGGTAGATAGGCTCCATCTCTGCAGCCAAGTCTCTTCTTCTCAAAGCCAGTTCTCCAGAAAGGCAGATTACAGGAGGACATTCACAGATAGGTGGTAGTTGGCGAACCCTTGGTCTACACAATCGGTGAGTTGAAGGTAACTCAGGTCACCACATAGGCAAAGAGGAAGCTAGATTCAGGCTAGAGGGCCAGTGAAGCTGGTGGCCAGACGGGAGCCCCAAAATGATGCTGCATGTCCACTGGGGAGCTATGACATGGGGTGGCCTGATGATTTTGCTGTGGCTCCACCTGAAGACACAGAGCATGTGGAGGCCATGGCCCTGTCCTTCAACTCTAACCCTTCTATTTTATCCTGCGCTTGCATTCCTGGACTCTGTTGTTACCTCCTGGATCCGGGATTTTTCCACTGTCTTTTGTTGTTATTTTTTATGTTAAAAAATCTGTTTACTGGCTTATTTATTTTTTAATAAGTATATATTTGTATATTTGTAATATACAAATATATTCTTGTTATAAAATATTCAAACAATATAGAAATATATAAAGTCAAAAGCAAACTTTCCCCTCACCCCCACCAATCCTATTTCCCTTCCCAGAGGGAATTACCGTTATTAGTGTAATGGGTATTTTTCCTGTGCTTTCCTTCCAAATTTACATACATTTATATATATGTAATTTTATTTTGTGGGATTTTTTTACATAAATGAAACTATACTTTTTTAACTGCTCTAGAACTTTTTTTTCACTTCCCCCTCTATCTTAGAGAGGCTTCTAAACTGATGCCTGCATGGGCAGCCAGCTCTGCCTCTTTACCTCCTGCATACATTTTCATTGTGTGCATGTCCAAAAGTATATTTCACCATTCCTATGTTGTTGGACAATTAGGCCATTTCCTTGTGTACTTTTTCTTGCTGAAAATATGCAATAAAATTATATGACCTGAAGCTTAACTCCTTTCCATATCTCTTTTGCATTACACACATTAATTCCACTCCATCCATAGCCTCCACATTGAGCCACATGTCCAGGCCCACCTCATCACTCCATGCTCACTGGCCATTTCCCCTTGGCTGCGTTGAAACTGCTGTCTTTTGCCTGAGACAGAAGTGACCTGCTATTAAATAAACAGGCACTTGAAACCCACCCCCTCGTTACGTTCTGAAAGCCAGAGGTTGCCACAGGACAGTTACTTAAATCAAGACAATTTCCAGGCAGGAAGAAGATGTAGAACCCTGGCATTATTCCTCTCCCGCGTTTGTTGTAATAGCTTGATTGAGTATTGAGAGCAAGCTTAAAATGCTGCCATCAGCACCGGCTACCCTTTAGATTAGCACACAGCTCCTATTCCCTTGAATGTAGTTAGGCCAGCTTAATGTCAAGGCATAAAAAAGATACTTGTTAAATAATTTCCCAAAGCTCCGACTCCATCTTTAATTTGTTTTTATTTTTTTCCTCTTTTCCTCTCCTCTCACTTTTGCTCCTTTCTCTCTCTCTCTCTCTCTCTTCCCCACCTCTGTTTTTTTTTTTTTTTTCCTTTCCTCTATGCCAAAGGGTACACCATTAAGTCGGGCTGATTTAAGGGCTGTCAACATCAACCTCTGTGACATGTGCGTTATCCTGTCAGCCAATCAGAATAATATTGATGATACTTCGCTGCAGGACAAGGAATGCATCTTGGCGTCACTCAACATCAAATCTATGCAGTTTGATGACAGCATCGGGGTCTTGCAGGCTAATTCCCAAGGTAAGGACAGCCTGTAATACTTCTTTGCTGTGCCTACGGGGGACAGGGGCTGGCAAGAGGGATATCCTTCACTCAGTAATTCAAAGAGGCTCACATCAGCCTGCCTGGCAGTGAAACCTGCGGTCGCCGTGATGGCTTTCAAAGGGGCATCTGCTGCCTCTTCTTTCCGTTCCCGTGCAGGCTTGAGACCTGGTCACCCACACACAGACTAGGTTGCCTTTCCAGAGGATAAACAAGCCTTTAAATGGCCACCCCCTCAGCTTTCCCAAAGAGTGGCTTCATGACCAGTGTCATCATCTAAATGTCAGATCACTGAAAAGATGCTGGCTGCACAATTCTGACTGTTTCCTTCCAATATATGTTTTTGCCATTGGGCTGGGATGGGAGGGAAACTTTGCTATTGTTAGAACTGCCTCTAGGACTCTGCTGACCGAGGGATGGTAATCTCTGGAGAGCAGCAACTCTATGGACACTAAAAGTCATTTAGCAAGTGGTGACACTTGTCAGACCACACATTTTCCTATCGGCGGCAAAGCAGCCTTAAGTGACACACGTCTGCCTTCCTACTCTGCCCCTAGTCTTTTCTGTCATTTGCTTTGGGACCCTGGGCAGGTGGTTACAAGTAAAGATGTCTAGGGGTCTCAGAAAGGCAACACAGCAAAACCTTCATAACAAATGACCTCCGTAATCAGGATCTGGCAGGATAGGATGCAAAGCATTTTTCTTTGAGTGACACCTCCGTGTAGGCTTGCCATGAATCGGAGGATCATTGTTACAGACGAGCTACGAGACAGTGGCATTGGCTGCCTGATGGGGACCTGAATCCCATCAGCCCAGGATGGAAGGCTGTAGGAGCACAGCCCATGAGAGCTATGGCTACTGGGATATGAAGCATCATCTCATTGATAGCTGGGCAAGCGTCTGACCTCCTTCCCGTCATGCTAGGCTTTCTAGAAACTCAGCTGAATCATGCATCCTGGATCTGTGAGCTACATTATCTTTTGTCAACTTGACATCACCACCACTGCCTTCTAACATTTGCTTAGCATTGCAGAAAAGCCAGGAACAATAGTTCCTAGAATCCTCTTCCCTGCATGGCTCTGGGCTAGAGTCAACTGGTGGAGATGGGCACTGGGGTGAGATTTGGAAAGTGGAGGAGAAAGATAGGCTTTGATTCTTTGGAGGCAACGGCAGCCAGACCCTGGCCGACCCGGGTTCAAATCATCTCTCAGATGAGCTTTTTAGGAGCCAGTGTCTTCACTGCTAGGGACTGAGAGAGGGGCTGGGGCTTCCCTGAGGATCTTGAGATTCACAGCAGCTTCTGGTCAAGCTTAAGAGAACCTTCCCCTTTGGTGTTGCATGTGAAATGACTTCTGTCCTTCTGATATCACCTTGATACAGCCTGAAGCCTAATTTTTGACCTCTCCACACAACCATCCTCCCTGCCACACCCAAATCTAAATATTGGTATCCACCTGCTCAGCTGTGCCCGCAGGACAGCACAACGTGTGAAGGCCTAGGAGAGGCTCTGAGCTTACTCCCAGCTGCATCCTGAAGAGTCAGAGCCTGCCTCCTGTGCGGCCTGCCTAGGTAGCACAGGCAAGAGAGGATGTGAGAAGACAGCAAGCTAATGTTCTAGAAGGCGAAAGAGGCAAGCTGGCATTTGGTTCCTGCCTTTAAGCCCTTGACCTTCAATATGTGTCCTCTCTGCCCTGCCACAGTATGGGTGTCTGTTGGGGGAGCCTGTTAGAGTTACAGAATCTCATGGCACATCCCAGACCTGCCGGGTCAGAGTCTGTATTCCAACAAGATCCCCGGGCAACTCAAATGTACCCCTTTAAAGCACGGTAAACCTTCACATGAACAGGACGTGACCAACCCTTGGTAGATGATCCTCCTCTCCTGGGGAGGAGTGAACCATCAAGGGGAGTGGAAAAAAGTGGAAGCTGTGATTCTCCCTTTAAGTAGAGACAGAAGCCAGCAGGAGGGGGCAGGAAAACACTCCCTTTCCCCAACATGACTGTTTCTTCCAAACTCAATCATCATGATTTTCCAGGGCCGTAGATTAGAATCTCAGAGTATAATTTAGTTAAATACACATCTGATATAGATGTTCCTTCCAGTTCTCCTAAACTTTATCCCAGCCTCTTAGATCCTATATAAAGGCCAAACTGGTAACAATTTTTCCACTCCCCGGTGCCCAAAAGCCTTCTTTATTCTTTTTTAGGACAGGATAAGCAAGAAAAATAGGTTTTGACAGGAGATACGAAGAGAAAGAGAAAGGGAGCTTATTTTTCCTCCAAAGGAAAAAAGAAGGGCACTCTTTCTTTTGTATACACACATGCACACAGTTATGGTCTGAATGTTTTTGTCCCCTCTACCTACTCCCTGCCAAATACATACAGTGAAATCCTAACCCTCAAGGTGATATATTAGGTGGTGAGGCCTTTGGGAGGTGTTTAGGTCGTGAGGTGGAGCCCTCATGAATGGGGCTGGTGTCCTTATAAAAGAAGCCTGAGGTTGGGCACGGTGGCTCACGCCTTGGGAGGCTGAGGCGGGCGGATCACCTGAGGTTAGGAGTTTGAGACCACCTGGCCAACATGGCAAAACCCCATCTCTACTAAAAACACAAAAAAATTACCCGGCTGTGGTGGCGGGCACCTGTAATCCCAGCTACTCAGGAGGCTGAGGCAGGAGAATCGCTTGAACCCAGGAGGTGGAGGTTACAGTGAGCCGAGATGGCGCTACTGCATTCCAGCCTGGGCAACAGAGCAAGACTCTGTCTAAAACAAAATAAAATAAAATAAACAAACAAATAAACAAATAAAGTAAAATAAGCCTGAGAAAGACCCCGTGCCCCTTCTGTCATGTGAGGACACTGCAAGAAAGTCCTCACCAGAGACTGAATGTGCCAGCGCCTTGACCTTGAACTTTCCGTTCTCCAGAATTGTGGGAAATAAATGTCTGTTGTCTATCAGTCACCCAGGTTATGGTGTTTGTTACAGTGGCCCAAATGGACTAAGACCGCACACGTGACAGAAGGCGGCAGAGGATGTGTCTCTATGCTCAGCAGTGATTCTTGTAGACCCCTGGTCAGCAGTGGAGAGGAGCATTTGTCTCTCACTAGCCAGCAGTCTGTTCTCTCCCTAAGAGAGAGTGTCAAAGCTCTAGGCCCACCAAGGCTTTATGTCCCATTGTTTTCTTGTCTGTCTGCTCCTCTCTTGGTTTTGAATATTGTTCTCTGGTGACACTCTAACCTTGTAAAGGCAGTGGTCCAGTGGGAGCCATCAACACAGAGAAATCGCTCCTTCCCCAGTGCTCACTTCTGGCTGCAGACCCAGCACCCCACTCCTTGGGCTCCTGTCAGCCTGTGAGCGGACTTTCCCTGCCTCTCTATATCTGAGACCCTTTTGACTAACTGCAGTGCCCACTGGCCTAAGATACTTTTGCCATCCTTCATCTGGGTGTTTGGCATGATCAAGCTCCAAGGGAATAGGAATTATGGGGAATGAAAAGGATTTCATGTTACTCTCCTTTTTTTTTTTTTTTGTCTTTTCTTTCTTTTTCTTTTCTTCTTCTGTTTTTTTTTTTTTTTTTTTTTTCGTTTGTTTCTTTTTTGAGGTAGAGTCTCTCTCTGTTGCCCAGGCTGGAGGGCAGTGGTATGATTTCAGCTCACTGCAACCTCCACCTCCTGGGTTCAAGTGACTCTCCTGCCTCAGCCTCGCAAGTAGCTGGGATTACAGGTGTGTACTGCCACACCTGACTAATTTTTGTATTTTTAGTAGAGACAGAGTCTCACTATGTTGGCCAGGCTGGTCTCAAACTCCCGACCTCAGGTGATCCACCCACCTTGGTCTCCCAAAGTACTGGGGATTTCTTGTTACTCTTATCATTTTGGGAAACAAATCTAACTTCCTCTGAGTGATAACTGCATAGATTTCTGGCCACTGACACCCTTGCTTTCATTCTTATGTATTCTGTGGTCCTTTATGGAACCTCGTGCTCTGCTTTGTCTGGTGAACTGTTTCCATGTCTCTAGAACCTCACTGGGTAGAGATGTGGACTCCGAACAAATGCCATGCTCTGGGGCCAGAATATGCATGCAACCTTATGGAAAGCTTTCCTAACATGATATAATTTAGCATGAAAAATGTGCCTTCACATTGAGAAAGTAGAACCTTCATTGGACAACTGCCACTGCATGTTATTAGGGCTCCTAGACTAACAAAGCCTCTCTTTTCTCTTCTGTTCTCTTTTCATGTTCCCTTTTGATGTCACTTTTCTAGCCCACATGGTGTCAGAACTGACCCAGCCTAGGGATTCTGGACCAGACACTTTCTGAAAAGACCCAAGATGTGATGGCTTGTTGTCAAAAACAATTACAGAAAAAGGTGGCATACCCCAAGCCAGATGGTATATCCAATGTGACAGTCGGGTCTATGAGATGCAGTTTTAATATACAGCAGGCAAAACTGCAGTGACAATTATATAAAGCAGATGAAGCTCTTCTTGCTGGTCAGCAAACATCAGCTCAGAACCACTTTACAGCTCTTTACCAGCAACTAAGTGCCTTTATTTACAGAGTGCCTGTCACTTCCCTTTGGCTGGAGAGCTGGTGTATTATTTAGCACACATTTATCCAGGGAAAACATTTCAATTTAAATCAGCTGGTACAACAGTGGCTCTTGCCAGACTGTTTCCCTGCGGTTCGAAAAGATGAGAACTGAGTCTGATCTTGGAAGAAAGGGTGAGCAGAGGGAGGCAGGGTCTGCTCTCTGAGCTGCTTCAGTTCATACCTGAAAAGAGGGAGCATGCCATGGCGTTTCCCATTCTGCTTTCATAGTGTTTTGAAATGAGGATCTTGTAGTTTCTTCCTGCTTACCCTTCCAGGAAGGGTAACTCCTAAGGAAAACAAAAAGGAATAAATGGCTGTTCTCCATGCATCAGGCACTCTAAAGGCCCAGAACACAAAGGTGACCAAAGGTTGCTTGGATTCAGCC